ATCGCTGTAATCTAAAGTATCTTTCCATGAATGCAGAAGGAAGGCAAATCTGAGCTGCCTGCTCGAGTATTTCTTTAAAGCGTCCTGTATCGTCACAAAATTCTTTAGCGACTTTGACATTTTGCAGCCAGCTATAGTCAAGTGGCCAGAGTGCAAGAAATAGTTGACCCAATGGGGGTTATCAAAATGCGCTTCCGTTTGTGCGAGTTCATTATCATGATGGGGAAATTTAAGATCCACCCCGCCTGTATGAATGTCTAAACTTTTTCCGTGAATTGCGGTCGCCATGGCTGAGCATTCGATATGCCACCCTGGACGTCCTTTGCCCCAGGGACTGTCCCACCAGGGTTCACCGTCCTTTGAGCTTTTCCAGAGCGCAAAGTCTGTTACCGACTTCTTCTCAGAGAGCTTATCTGCCGTAATGCTTAAGTCACCTTAGTAAAGAAAAAAAAAAACATTAGTTAATTTAGTTCTAAAAAAACCAAACGTGAAAGGTAACTCAAACTTACCTTCTCCCTCTTCCAAACTTGACGTATCGCCATATGCTTCTGGTACAAGCTTAGCATAAAAATGTTTCTCTTGTTTATCAAACTTGCTTACGTCAAAATATACTGATCCATTACTTTCATAAGCAAATCCATTGCCTATTATTCCTTGTACAAACGCTATTATCTCAGGTATATATTCACTAACTCTCGTGAGCACGTTTGGTTTTAATACCTAAAATATTTGTGGAAAAACAATATTAAAAACAAATTGTGTTTGTTTTAGAAATAAATAAAAACATTCTATATTTAAATCTTACATTTAAAGCATCCATATCTTTATGATATTCCGCTTCCCAATGCTGTGATAATTTATTAAATATGGAGTGTTCTGTGACTGTGCTACCTTTAATATCATCTAACCAATTAGCTAAGGGATCTCTAGCCTCTCTCAATAATGCCTGTATAGAAATTATTATTTACTTTGCATAAAACAATTTAAAAAAATAGATTCTACATTATATGTATCTTAAGTGACTTACTTCTTGAGACTCTAAGATCTTTTTTTCATCCTTCTCTTTCACCGCCTTCTGCAGATCTTCAATAGCTTTCGTTATTCTATTAAACATCTTCTCTAACATGCACTTTTTATCAGCGCAATTTGTAGTTTTTACAACATTCTCAAAATTAGTCATTACTTCTCTGATGTCATCTAATATTCCATTAAGGCTGTGATTTTCTTCCATGTACTTTTCGTACAAGTAGTTCTGCCTTGCTCTTTTTATAATCTTATCATCTATATCAGTAATATT